ACAATTTAGGAACATGTTTTTCACTTCCAGGGGCCAAGATAAGGTATTTATTTTATACTAACAAAGGATACCTGCTTGATATCGGCACAAGATAGAACAGATTGTACATAGGGTAGCTATGAGTTGCAGGCGACTCGATGGCACATAACAACAACAACAACCCGCTTATAAACAGAAACATTTTTCAGAGTATCAGATGAGGCCTCAAGGCTGAAATTTAAATAAGAAAAATAATCCTGCCCAAGAATCATTCTACTCAGTCTAGGTAACTTGCATTGACTGTAGAGAAGTTGAAACAGGGTCTGAACACAAAAACCAATGCTAGAAAGGTTTCAGTCAGTTTTTAGGCTACAGAACCAAGGTGCTAGGAATGAAATTAAAGTTTTAGATTCAAATATTTATACTATGTGCTGTAGTTTAAAAGTAATGCTACCCTATCATCATGATAGTATAAGTTTCCTCTTTTACCTGTGGGTGTAGTGGATGGAATTAATTTGGATATTTTTTCCCTTTTTCTTGAGTGAGTCTTGAATATCTACTGAATACTGATGCATAGTTACTTTTATACTATAGTTGCATTTTATTTACTCATTTTTTTCTAAAGATTTTTGCATCTATTGATTGAGAAATGTTTGCCTATATATTAGAGCATTTTCAAGATTCTGCTCATATCATATTTACTATTACCTATTTCAGAGTAAACTTTCAGTCATAAGGAGGCAGAAAAAGCAGACAACTCAACGGCACATAACAACAACAACATCCTGTTCCATCACCAAAATCTCTGACATACTCAAGGCCATTATTGCAGTCACTTTGTCAATACATCTGATTGATGGTCTTCCTCTCTGACACTGCCCCTCCACTTTCCAAGCATGATATCCCTCTCTTCTCCAAGGAAATCCTCTCCTAATGACATGGCCAAAGTATGTGATATGAAGCTTTGTAATCTTTATCTCTGAGCTGCACTCTGGCTATACTTTCTTCAAAATACATGTTTGTTCTTCTGGAAATTAGTAGGCTATCTAGCACTGTTCTCCAATACTGCAGGTCAAAGACATAAATTCTTCTTCTATTATTCTTATTGATTGTCCAGCTCTCAGTAACATAGCAAGTGATTGAAAAGAACACAGCCTGAGTCAGGCACACCTCAGTTCTCAATCTGACATTACTCCTCAAGAATTTGGAAAAGCCCCTGACTGCAGTCTTTCTCAGTGTACTTAGAGATCCTGATCTACTGTCTGCTGGTACCAAGGTTGCAGATTGTGTATAGAAATAAGATGAAGTTGCAGACAGTTTCAATCTCTTCTCTATATATCATGTTGTTGCTTGTGTGGTGAGAATTGTTGTTTTCTTGATGTTCAACCAATATTGAAGACTTTTTTTTTTATCTTCTGCAGCTAGCACTTCAAGTCCTCCTCACTTTCAGCAAGCAAGGTTTGTTAGCTACATAATGAAAGCTATTGATGAGTCTTCCTCCAATTTTAATACCATAATTATTCTTCATGAAGTCCAGCTTCTCAAATATGCTCAGCACACTGATTGAAAAGCATAGATGTCTTAACAGTGTTCACTTGCTCTATTTCCACAGTCTAGGTATATATTTTGCACGAGCACAATTAAATGTCCTGGGATTTCTATTCTCCTCATTGTTATCCATAATTTGTTAAGATCCACACAGACAAATGCATTTGCATAGTCAATGAAGCACAAACAAATATTCTTTCAGTATTCTTTGAGTTCAGCCAAGATCCATCTGTCTCTGGTGCCAAGGGGTCTTCTAACTTCTAACTTCAGCTTGAACTTCTGACAGTTCTCTGTGTACTGTCATAGCCTTTTTCTTTTAAATTATTATCTTCAGCATTATTTTGCTTACATGTAAAATTAATGATGCTGTTCGATAACCTCACATTATGTTGGATCACCTTTCTTGGTAAGAGGAACAAACATAGATCTCCTAAAGTCAGTTGGCCAGGTAGTTCCAAACTTTCAGGCATAGATTGTGAACAAATACAGGACTGTATCTTTTAGCTGAAACATATTAGTTGGTGTCCCATCTATTCCTTGGATCTTACTTTTTGCCAATGTCTTTAGTGCAGCTTGAACTTCTTTTATTACCATTAGCTTTTAATCATATGATAGTTTGTGAAATACTGTGTCAGCCAATTATTTTTGATACAGTAATTCTCAGTATTCCCTCCATCTTCTCTTGAGGTTTCCTAGGTTGTCTCAGATTTTGCTCATAGCATCTCTAGGTATTGCAACTTGAGACTTGAACTTGCTTTTCAGTTTATTCAACTTCATAAATGCTGACCAAGTTCCTTGCTTTTTATTTTACAATTCCGTTTTTGCACCTTCTGTTCTAATACTTTGTTTTATCAAGCAGCCCTTTGCAATCTTTTTCTCAGCTCTTTTATTTAATATTCTTTTGGCTTTAAATGCTACGGAGGATTTTTAGGGTCTCTTAACAATACTACTATCATCAAAAACTGAAAAAAACCCTCACAACCTACATCTGTTTGATCAATTGCAGATTGATTTACTATTATTCAAATTATTTCTAAAGATACATAATGTATTATACTTCTATAGATAAAAGCTTACTTTATTTACTGAGAACTGAATTGAATAATATAATTGATATCACATGCAAGCAAAATATCCCTGAAGGTTATCTAAAAATGGCTAGAACAGTACATTGACAGAGAACTGCCAGAAGTTCAAATTGGGTTTAGAAGAGGCTATGCCATCAGGGATATCACTGCTGATGTCATATGAATCTTGACTAAAGCAGAGAATATCAGAAGAATATCTATTTGTGTTTTGTTGACTATGCAGAGGTATTTGACTGTGTGGATCATAACAAACTAAGGCTAAAATTAAGGAGAATGGGAATCCCAAAATACTTAATAGTGTTCATATTAAATGTATTCTTAAATCACAGAACATAGCAACACTGCATGATAGACCATCAAGAAATGTGCTTTACAGGGTTTTGTCCTTTCTCTATACCAGTTCAATTTTTATGCTGAGTGAATCATTCAAGAAGGTGGACTTTTGAAGAAGAATGTGGTATCAAGATCGGAAGAAGACTCATCAAAACTTTCCTTATGTAGATGGCACAACTCTATTTTGTGAAAGTGAGAAGAATTTAAAGCACATGTTATAAAAGATCAAAGTTATAGCCTGTAATATTGATCACATCTCAATATCAATAAACCAAAGATTTTCACCACTGGGCCAAAGCAACGTTATGACAGATGGAGAGAAGATTGAAATTGTCAATATTTTGATCTTGTTTGGATCATCAGTCAATATCATCAGTTCCAGCAGCCAAGAAATCAAAAGATGTATTGCACTGGGTAAGTCTGAAGTCAAGGACCTCTCCAAGTTATTGAAGATTAATATATATCAGGTTGAACAGTCAGGTACACCTTATCCAAGACATGATCTATTCAATCACTTGCTATGCACCTGAGACTGGACAACGAATAAGGATGATTGAAGAAAGATCTATGCCTTTGAGTTGTGTTGTTGGAGAAGAGTGATGAACATGCCATGGACTGAGAGAAGAGAAACAGATATGTCTTGGAAAAAGTGCAACCTGAGTGCTCCTTGGAGGCAAAGTTAACAAAGCTTCATTTCACGTACTTTGGACATGTTGCTAAGAGAGGCTATTCCTTAGAGAGAAACATCACTCTTGGAAAAGTAAAGGGTTGGTGAAAGAGAGGAAGAACCTTAACCAGATGGATTTATACAATAGAAAGAAGATTGAGCATATCAGAGATGATAAGAATAGCATAGAATAAGACATGATTCAGATTTGTTGTTCACAGGGTCGTTCTGAGTCATATCTTGTACCATAATCCCAGACTACTCTTTATTTTATTTTATTTTTACATTCATTTGTTTTCACCAAGTGATTAAAATGAGTAGGATTAAATACATATATTTATCCACTACAATGATGCCATAATTTTCTAGACTGAAATTTTCCAGTTCTAAGGTTATGTGAAATTTGAGAATTTTAATTTTTAAAAAAATTATAAAGTGCTAATTTATCTGTTTAGCTGCTAATAATTTATTTCTTTATTTTTAGCAAATGTGATACATTAAGTTTTTTTTAAATTTGAAAAGATATGATTGATGGGAGAATATATTTTCCTTATGACAAACCATTTTATTTAATTATATGCCTTTTTTTATCTTTTTATTTGTGAGTTGTCCTCTTTTATTCACAAAACTTCTTTTTTTTCGTTATTTACCATACCTCATTCTCATTACATATGGAATAAACCTAGTCATTTAATATATTTTCCTATTTTTTTAACATGTTGTCATTATAGTATAATGGCAGATTTTAAAATATTGTTCTAAAGTGGGGAAACATTTTTGCATCTAGCCTAAGGATGAGCTATTAACATCAGTATTATGGATCGTGAAAATCATCTGGAGGTGACAAATCATGGCTTAAAAATGAAAGTTACTGGATAAAGTCTGAAAGCGACTTTTTTTTTTTGTCTGGCACAGGATAGAACGGCATTTAGGGCTCTTGTACATAGGGTTGCTATGAGTCACAAACAACTCAATGGCACATAACAACAACAACAACAACAGAAAACTGTTAAATAATTACCCATACCTCCATTTTCAAAGAATCAGTTTCAAGTCAAGGCAACCCTCCATCAGATTTCTGAAGCTGTATACCTATCGAAGGCAACTGCAGATGCTTATCTTGCTCTGGAAGAGAGGCTGGCAGATTCAAACCACTGACCTGAGGTTAGAAGCCCAACTTGTTATGCATTAATTATACCACTAGGTATCTTTGTTAAGTAACTAGTTTTTCAACAATGAATAGGTAAGAGAAGCAATGGTTAAATGACTGTGAATTAAGTTCGACTGTTTTATAGGAAGAATATTTAGAAATTAGTTTATTATCCTTTGAAACATATGAAGTAGATGAGCATCTTTTTTACATGAATCGTAAGCTTAGGCATAGTTTACTTTCTTGAAAAGAGGATAATTTTTTTTAGTGTATCATTAAAAGCTTGTTTAACTTGTTTATTCCTCAAACTATATATAAAAGGATTCAATACTGGTGATATGGATGATATGAGCACTGATACACCTTTATTAATCTTCACCTGTTCTTTTGAAGAAGACTTGACATAGATGAAGATGCAGCTGCCATAGGAGATGGAAACTACAATCATGTGGGAAGAACAGGTAGAAAAGGCCTTTTTCCTTTGTTGGACAGAAGGGAATTTTAGAATTGTCTTGATGATATATATGTAGGAGAAGAGAACACATATAAAAGTGATGACAAAGGCCAATATAGCACAGACCGTCACCATCTTCTCAATTAACCATGTGTCTGAGCATGAGATTTTCAGCATAGGTGGTACATCACAGCCAAAATGGTCAATGATGTTAGAGTCACAGAATTCCAGATTATAAACTAAACTAAGTGGTGGGAGGATAATCACAAGTGCTGCCAACCAACAGCACATAACCATTACTTTGCATACTTTGCTGTTCATGATCGTCATATAATGCAAGGGTTTGCAGATGGCTACGTAACGATCGTAAGACATGGTAGCCAAAAGAAAAAACTCAGTGACTGCAAAGAGATCAACTAAAAATAGTTGAATGGAACATCCGTAATAGGTAATTGTTCTGTCACCCACTGATATACTGTGTAAGTATCTTGGAATACAGGCAGAGGTAAAGAATATTTCTAGGAAAGAGAAATTTTGGAGGAAAAAATACATAGGTGTTTTAAGATTAGGATCCACCAAGATGAGGGTAATGATTGTCAAATTTCCACTTACACTCAATACGTAAGTGGTAAGTAAAAAAACAAAAACCAAAACTTGTAGCTGAGGATCTTCTGTCAGTCCCAGAAGGATGAATGTTGTTATTGTTCGATTTCTCATTATTGAACTTTAGGCTTTAATCAGACCTGATGAGAGAATTGAAATGCTAGCTTCAGTAAAAACTCAGGTAGTAATGATTACTCTTTCACATTGAATTTATCCAACACCTATGGCTTTTCTTCATTTTATAGAAAAGAAATACATTTTCTATTTTTAGTGAGCTAAGTTCTGTAATTTATTAATAGACAATGAGTAGGTAAGAGTTTTTAAAATTTATTCTTGAACTACAATTTTATTTTCTTTATTTTGTCTTTTCTATGTATAAAACTATGAATTTAATATTTTAGCATGAGGATTGCCCACTTTGACTCTTAAATATTCAAGTTTATAATTATTCAGATCTCTCTTTAATACCAAAGTCTTACAACTACTTCCTGTATTTCATTGTGTAAACTGCTGGTTTTCTTGCACTCTTTGACCGTATTTTTAGGAAGTACTGATGAAGAATGTCAAAGTTATTTTTTCATAGTTTAAATTAGCTTGGTTGAGGTTAGCACACATTTTATAATATATACTCAGCAATGCTCAGAAGAAAAAGCCAAGGTTAGATTACTGAATTTCCCCATGATGACACTGCTTCTCCACCTTTTCTTTTCCCTTCAAATTATACTCTTTTCATCTGTTTACACATTTTGCATTCATTTCTATCTTTCATTGTTGTTGTTATTGTTAAGTGCCATCGAGTTGTAGGCGACTCACAGAGACCCTATGAATGAGAGTCCTCAAAACTTGTGTGACTTTCCTCCTTTCTCCAGGTTCATAGGGTTTCCAGAGGCAAGCTATTATACAAATGGATACCACTCCTGCTTCCAAGCTTTCATGATCTTACTTTTTAATTCATATGTCATTTAACACTGCTTCAATATACTATTTGTATTACTCGATTCAATATGTAACCATTTTAATAACAAGCATTTATAAGTCTTGAGGCAATGTTCTAAGTAGGTTACATATATAACTTAAATAATTCAGAAGAACTCAAACACTCAGAATAAAAGCACAAGCCCACCAGTTCTAAAGGAAGTAGCCAGATGTTGTATCTCCAGGGTCCCAAGTCTAACCACTTCAAGATTATGGTTTTTGGTTTTGGGGGCTGGAGGGTTATTGAGGTTTTTCTTGTGTGTTGTCACCTTAATTATTTGATTTAATCAATAGATTGTTTCTATTAGTTTTCAAAACTTTAAGGGTAGGATAAATGTAATTTATTGTCAAAAAACATATTTGAGTAGCAAAGAGAAATATTTATAATTATGTGCTTGAAAAGTAGTGTTTGAGTAAATGAGATTGTCCAAATCACAGCTAAATTGATAGAAACGTATTTGTATATAATTACTGGGTAATATCAAAGTGGATGGACATTAAAAATTACCCAGTCAAAACTGACTAATTTTCCTTTCTTTTGTTGATCTTTTTTTTGTGGTTGATAATTTTCAGTTGTTTTTAAGTCATATCATGGGTTCATAGAGTAAAACTTCTTTTCAGGATTTTCTTCTCTGTTATGCTTTGAAAAACAGGCCTTTAATTTCACAGGGGCATTAGGTGAGTACTAACAGCCAAACCTAAGATATGTTGTTGTGTGTTACTGAGTTGGAACTGATCCATAGCTGACCCTCTGGAAAGTTTTCACAGGCAGTTAATCACACTGGAGAAGAGATTGCCCATCTTTCTCATGCAGAGCATCTGGTGGATTAAAACCCCTTATGTTTGAGGTTGCAGTACAGCTTCTTACCAATAGGCCACCAAACTGCGTGGGACATCAAGACTATTAAATATCCCTTTAAGTATGCAGATGTCTATAAATATACTGCCCTAGATGTGCTCCCCAAGTTGTGCCAAGAAATCTGGAGGACAAACACTTGGCCAACTGACTCGAAGAGATCTGTATTTGTTCTCATTCCAAAGAAAGGATATCCAACAGAGTATGGAAATTATCAAACAGTATGATTGATATCACATGCAAGCAAGATGCTGTTGTAAATTATCCAAAAATGACTTGAACAGCACACAACAGAGAACTGCCAGAAGTGCAGGCTGGGTTTAAAAGGGGTCGTGGTACTAGGGATTTTGTAGCTAATGTTAGATGGATCTTGGCAGAAAACAGAGAATACAAAAGGAATATCTATCTGTGTTTCATTGATTATGCAAAGGCATTTGACTGTGTGGATCACACACACACACACACACACACACACACACACACACAGCCCTGTGACTGACTCAGAAAAATGGGAATCCCAGAACACTTGATCGTGCTAATGCAAAATCTATACTTGGATCAGAAGACAGTCGTCAGAACAGAGCAAAGAAACACTGAATGGTTCAAAATTGGAAAGGGTGTATGCTAGGAATGTGTCTTATTTCCATACCTTTTCCGCTTACATACAGAGCAGATTATCCGGGAGACTGGGGTGTATGAGGAGAAGTGTGGCATCGGTATTGGAGGAAGATTCATCAACAATCGGCATGATGCAGATGACACAACCCTGTTTGCTGAAACTGAGGAGGACCTGAAGTGCTTGTTAACAGCTTTAGTTTGCTTGGCGCCACAGTCAACAGTCATGGCACCATCAGCCAGGAAATTAAAAGACACATTGCGAAGGAAAAGTATGCTATTAGGGACCTCTCCAAAGTACTGAAGAACAATGGTGTCCCTCTGGAGACTAGGGTGTGCCTGATACAGGTCATGGTCTTTGCAATCACTTACTATGCGTCAGAAAGCTGGACAATGACTTGGGATGATAGAAGGAGAATTGATACCTTTGAGTTGTGGTGTTGGAGAAGAGTATTGAATATACCACGGACTGCTAAGAAAATGAACAGGTTCATCCTGGAGAGGGTTAAACCAGGCTGCTCCTTGAAGGCAAAGGTTCTGAAGCTTCATCTGACATGCATTGGTCATGTTGCAAGGAGAGACCAGTCCTTGGAGAAGAATGCCATTCTTGGGAGGGTGGAGGCACAGTGCAGGAAGGGAAGACCCTCTTTGAGGTGGATTGATTTAGTGACTGGGGTAATTAAGGTGGGTGTGTCAGAGACAGTGAGATTGGCACAGTATATAGCAGGGTTTAGGGTTGTTGTACGTAGGGGTTGCTATGAGTAACAAGTGACTTGACAGCACACAATAACAACAACAACATATATATGTTCAACATTTTCCCAGAAAAAAACAAAACTAGAATCTAAGGACTGTATTTTTTGTGCTAACATGAGTAGCTGGGTAACAGTTATTTATAATTTATCTCTAAAATGTGGCCACGAATATACATAGATTGATAATACACAATTTTTTTTGTCTCTATGGCTCTAAATGTTTTAACCTTTACTAAATGTGAAATGTATCTCCTAGGACTAAGTAAATCTTTTGCAGTTGTAAAATGCCTTATTCATAAAGCTTTAATGTCTATAAAGTCACAGTCTTAAAAAATATAATTTTTGTTTTTTCATTTCTATTTTTAATTCCATTAGCACTAACTTCACTATTAAGGACCCCATATACCAAGTAAAGTCTCCATGGCAGATGGACTTCACCATACAACAGGGACATGAATCCAGACAAAACTCTATAGAAAGTTGGTCTCTAAATCAGGATGTTATCTTTAGGAGGTGCCTGTCTAGTTCACATTGAAAACCTAGTTTGTTGTCCTCTTTGCTCTACCCTTATGGTACTAACTACTTGCACACAATACACTTTGTTTCCTCAATGAAGAGATGCAACCAATATTGAAGGCTATAGTTGTTATCTTCAGCAGCAAATGCTTCAAAACTTCCTCAGTTTTCATGAGCAAAGTTGTAGCATCTGCATAACACAGATCGTTGATGAGTCTTCCTCTAATGAATGTTGCCACATTCTTCATAAAGTCTAGCTTCTCAAATGATCTGTTCAGCGTATAGAATAAAAAGATATCAGATACATCTCTGGAAAACTTGTTTCTTGATTTTGAACCATGTACTATTCCCTTGCTCTAGTCAGAAAATAGGGGGTTTTTTTGGTCAAGGTATAAGTTTCACATGAGCACAATCAAGTGTTCTGGGATTCTCATTTTTCTCAATATTAACCACAATTTGTTGTAATATACATAGTCAAATAGATGTTTTTGCATAGCCAATAAAACACAAATAGGCATTCTTCTCATACTCTCTACTTTCAGCCAACATTGATCTGACATTAGCAATGATAGGGACTGTACTAGGGAGTGACATGGCCTCTTCTCACCTCAGCTGGAATTTCTGGCATTCTCTCTTGATATCCTGTTCTAGACATTTTTTGTATAATCTTCCACAAGATTTCGTTTGCATGTAATATTTAGTAATATTATTCAATAATTTTCACATTCTTTTGGATCACCTTTTTTAGGGAATGGGACTAAATATGGATGTCTTCCAGTTAGCTGGCCAGGTATCTGTCTTCTAGATTTTTTGACACAACCTGGTGAGCACACCCAGGGATTCATATGGCTGTTGAAATATGTAATTTGGCATTCCATCAGTTCCTAGGGCTTTATTTTTTGCCAATTCATTCAGAGCAGCTTGAACTTAATCCTTTATTACATTGGTTCTTGATAACATACTACTTTCCGAAATGGTTCTGTCAGCCAATTATTTTTGGTACAGAGACTATGTGTCTTCCTCCCATCTTCATTTGATGCTACCTGGATCATCCAACATTTTGCCTATAGTATCTTTAAGTATTGCAACTCAAGGCTTGAATTTGCTTTTCAGTTCCTTCAGCTTAAGAAATGTTCATTTTACATTTTGTGACTCCAGCTCTTTGCACATTTTATTATAATACTTTTTTTCCCCTCCACAAGCTGCCCTTTGGAATCTTCTCTTCAACTCTTTAGCTTTCTCATTTCTTTCCTTTGTTTTGGATTCTCAGCATTCTTCTGCATTATTCAGAATATCTTCTGACATTTATTGTGTTCTTTTCTTCCCCTTTTGTCTTTATAACGAACAACCTTTTGTTTTTCTCATGGCAATACCCTTTATATTAATCCACAGTTCAT